GTCTCGCCAGGTTGCCCAGGCGGGTCTCGAACCCACGGGCTCAGGCAATCCACTCACCTCCGCCTCCCAAAGTGCGGGATGACAGGCTGAGCCAACCGAGCCCGGCTCATCCAACAAATCTTTATCAAGCGCTTGCTAGATACCTTTCTGGCTAGCCTTCTGTTCTGGAGACACATGGGCAGGGTTAAGGGTGTGCCCTCTGACTGTTTGAATCCTGGCTCATCGCTGAGTGCATGATTTTCAACAAGACGCTTGTGAGGACTCAGTTTCCTCATCTGTAAAATGAAGAGCTAAGAATGGTGCCACTTTCTAGGAGCGTTGAGCCCTACAAAGTGCTCGGTAATTGTTAGCTGTTAAGTTTCATATACAAGCAGGCTAAAGTGGCCCTTGGACCAACACAGAGTCACAGGCCAGAGCCTGCGTGGGGGTAGCCCGCCTGCCAGGGGCCGTCCCCACCACCAGGCTGCCTCCCCTCCACAAGATAAGCTTTCACCCCCCCCCATGCCTACGAAGCACACTCTGAGCGCAGGGCCTGGAATTCCGACCCCTCAGGGCACGCTGCAGTGCCTCCTCCCTTTTCCCGGACAGGGTTGGGCTCCCACAGCCTTTTAGCTTGGCAGGCAGATCAGGGAACAAAACTTCAGTACCAGCTGCCTGCCTTCAACTCTGGTCCCCACTCCAAACCTGATCTCTTGAAGAGTGGGTGATTTCTATTTGGAGAAAGAGCACTGACTTTCTAGAGGGTTTTGCAGGATCAAGAGGAGTTCAACTCTGGTCCCCACGCCAAACCTGATCTCTTGAAGAGTGGGTGATTTCTATTTGGAGAAAGAGCATTGACTTTCAAGAGGGTTTTGCAGGCTCACAGAGGAAGGTTTTGTATTGGAGAAAACCGACCATGAAGGAGGGCGGACCCCAAGACATTCCACAGCTCCCCACCTTACCCCAAACACACCCCGTGGAAGACTCACTCCTCCAGGTGAGAGACATCCCACCCCCTCCACAGGGACCAGATACTGATTCTGAGAGTGGCCGCTATGAACATTTCCAACTCTGCATTCAGGGCTGCTGTTCATTCATTCATTCAACAGACATTGCTTGATCCCATACTGTGTGCTGGGTCTTGTTCTGGGTACTGGGAACACGATAGGAACGAGACAGAGTCCTCGCCCTCCATCTGCTGACACCCTAGCAGGGGGAGGCAGACACAAGCACACAAATAAGTACGTTGTGTATCAACCAGGTAGTGACCAAGGGCGCTGTGTTGGGAACAGGTAAGACCCAGAGACTAGCCTGGTGAGAGGGGTGGTCAGGGAGGGTCCCAGGAGGAGATGGTATCTGCCCAGTCCTGGGGTGAGTGAGGGATGCCGCCTTTTCAAGATCTGGAGAAAGAGATTCCAGTTGGAGACCGGGATGCACCCAGGCCCTGCAGGAAAAGGAAGGTGGATATTTTGGAGAAAAGAGGGTCAGTGTCACGGGGCCACATGAGGGGTGATGGGCAGGGGTCAGAGAGGCGGGGGGGGGGG